CATTGTCTCAAAGCTGAAAACAGGCCTGTAAAACGTGGTTCTCACAGGACATCGACAAACATGCAAACATGATGATCTTATAGACTATGATACATTGCTGTAGATTTATCAACCCAACAGTACATAAAGTAGTTAAAATGAGCTCAACCGTAAACATCTACAGCAGAAAAATGCAACACACACATTAATGCAGCAGTAATATTAATCCAAAAACATCAGATATATAATAATAAAACACTGGCAGGGAACATTTTACAGCATAATGAGTACTTTTGATAATTTAAGTACATTTTGCTGACAGTACTTAACATAAATAAGGTTTTGAATGCAACCTGTTTACCTACAGTGTGATAATATTACTTTTACTTAAAGGATCTGAATACTTCCACTACAGGCATCTTGTCGGATGGAGGAAGGAAAACAACCCCTATAAGTACAGATACAGTGCCGGTGTGTCTCTTTACTGATGCAGTGTAAGCAGTTACTGATGCTCTCACCACTGCAGAGTGAGCTGTGTCTGTTTCTTCTTGTCCTTGATGATCTGACTGATGGTCTTTCTGGAAGACGAGATGCTCTGTTTGATGTTCAGCTCCGGGTTAAAGTCCACCAGGTCCTGGTCCTCCTCAGAGGACGGTGTCTCATTACTGTCCTCCGCTTCTGAGAAAACATACAGACAAATACAGTACAGACTTCGTAAGAGGAGACAGGTGTGCTTTGTGTTGGGCACTGAACGTCAGGTGAGTGCTGGTTTTAATTCATATACCGCCGTATTGTTGCGTAGCGAAAACAACTGCTGTACCTCATCTGTTTCTTGTGCAATAGAACATTTAAGAGATATCTCTTTGAATATTAAAATACTTTAAGTGTTTTATGTCATTTTTAAAATGTTTTGAAAAGGAAGTCATGAAGTTGTTGCCCTGACTTTTTTATTTTTATGTTCTGTGTTTGCTCAATAAATATTGTTAACTTTCTGATTCCTTTATATAGTTTCATTTTATGGGGCCAAGAAACCCCTTATAGAAACCAAATCCTTTAGTATATATACATGACGACATTGTTTTTAAATTCCATGTAGTAACTCCTGACAGTAGCCACTATAAACCGATATAGATATTATATATAATAAAATAAAAATACAGTGATTTACCATGAAACTGCCAGAATCTTAAAGAATACAACAATATAAGTTTGAGTGCTGCCTTGCTGCTATAATAAAACTAATATTTAAATACACAGATCAGAATCTAGATCTTCACTTCTCTACATGAGCTGAGTTTCATTATTATTACACATTTTTTTCTATATCACTGTCGAGAAATAGCTTCATCACACCTTCTACTATTATGTAAAAAACCTTGAATTGGTTTAACGCTCTTATCTGAGGTCAGATGCTGCACTACACTGATCTTTCCTTAATGGAACATTTTTACATTTTATTATTTCTTTTTATCTTCAGTGCTTTCTTCTCAACCTCCAGCAATCTCAGGCATTTCCTTATAAGATGTGCAGCTTTTATTTCTTAATCCAAACATCTGCTTTGAGGAGAAAAAGTAGTTTAGTCCTATTTTCTTCCTGTTTCTGTGACTTTGAGAAAGTGATTTGAGCTTTCATTTATTACTGAACTTAAGCTGTTCCCTGGTGTGTTCCTGCACAGTAAATAGTATGTTGTATATGCTTATGTTGAGATTATTATTTCCTGAAGCTGTTCAGAAAGTTATAACTGCATTTTTTAATGTTATTATGTTTAAAGGGAATGTTTTACTTGCTTTTTGGTCTCATTTTTCTCCCTGCAAACTAGAACAAAAGTCACTTGACAATCAGAAAATAGACAAACCTGAACACTATTAATATCATGTCACAATGATAAAGAGTAAGATTATTAATTATATAATATTATAATAATAACTATATATATTATAATTGAGGCAATAATAAACAATATAACAGTTAGAATAAATGTATTTATATGGTAACATTTTGTGTACTTATATACCCCCAATATATCCGACTGTGACTAATATTAAAATACGTGAGCTGACAGGAAACATGAATTTGTACATTATTTAAAACTACAAAACAATTCTTAATTTGAATGTGAATTACAGCAACAATTTTTATACAAACTCTGTGGGACAATTTCCAAACTTATCAGAGGAGTTTTTAATGAGCACTGCAGGAAAAGTGTAACGGTAAAAAACAGTAGAACTGAAATAAATAATTAAAGAAAAAGGACAGATTATAATTAAACAATTTAAACCTAATATGGTTAATAATTAACACAGCTACGAAGGGGCCATAAGGCTTCTGGAGCAAAGGAGGAGCTGATGAAACATTAAATCCATCGTAGTGTCAGAGTCTCATTGCCTGATATTACTATTTGTAAAAAGCCTTTTGTTTATTGGTGATGCTCTTTTTGGTTAAATACAATGAATTTGATATTTAGTAGCTCTAATATTAAGAATATGAAACCTTCTTTTTTGTGCATCCGTCATAATCTGTTGTTGAGGATTGTGAAAACCAGAAGAAAAGTTAATAATTTGAACAATAAATGAAGAAGTTTTGCATGAAACTAAAACTTGTACAAATTAGGATTCATGTTGAGTCACTAAATCTGTGGAAAAATAGTTTGTACTTTTACATTTTTTAAGCATCTAAATACAAACCACCACTATATGACTGAATTTATTTATTCCACTCTTCTTTCCGTACTGAGTCCTCTACTTTATTCATGCACAAATCACGTCTCCCTTCCTGTTTATGTTTCTTCATCGTCATCTTTATTCATACGTGTGGGCCAGAATATGTTTCTTATCCTGTCAACTCAGTCAAGTCTGTCGCTGAAGCACCACCATGTGGTCAACTTGTGTCACTGTTTTTTACCTGAGCAGATTTTAAATCTAACCACCTAAAAAGCTTCAGATTTAAAGTCTTTCAGTGAAGATTATTTCAAGAAAACAGGAGAGGAAGATGGTGAAAAGACAAGAAGGATATATATATAGAACATTAATGTTTCAGCCATATTAATCTGACCTTCAGTAATACTTAATTGATTAAGTATGCTGGCTTTCCTTACCTGATTTAATCCCAGAATCATCCTCCTGATGAAAATGTGTCTGTTTGTTAAAGTCTGTCTCTCCCGGTGAGCTGCACAAAGTCTTGGTTAGAGAGTGAATAAGAAACACTCCATCCCTGGTTGAGCTCTCACTGCTGCGTTTCATCGGCATAGTCACATAAAATAAACAAACGTCGATGAACAAATCAACCAAAGACGAAGAGGAAGGAGAAGAAAAGGCCTGCTGTGAAAAAACAGTCCACTGCAGCTCATTTGTCCTTAAGACTGTGAATCAGCTCTGCACACAGTCTTTAAACATTTGTCAATCCCACCTTCACACAAGTCCTGGAGAAGACACAAAAGATCACGTCCAGCATTTTATGTCCAAAAAACTGATCCACTGATCTGAAGCTAAAGAGGAAAAAGTGGAGTGCACTGCTGATGAACCTGACAGAGCAGCCTCAGACTAATAAAGCCGTGCTGTGGGAAGGCACAGCTAATGAAGCCGTAGACGAATGAAGACGCATTCATCATATTTACAGAAGACTGGGGCTAATCCAGGTTATTAATGATTAACAGAAAAACCCTCATCCATCTGTCCATCCATCCATCCTGCCTGCCACAGTCAGCCGGCCCTCCGTGCACAAACTTATATGTGCCTAAAAAACCAGCAGGGATTGTTCAGTTTGCTTTATTTTAAGTTTTTTGAAAACTCAAATAACTGTATGTGCATTTTGTGTGGTGGTTGTGTTTATGGGTTAGTTTTGAGCTTCATAAGGTTTTTTTTTTAAACATGTTTAAATAAATAAAAGAAAATAAAGTTTTTTATTTTAGGTGCATCCAACACATAATGATTGTTTTGTTATTTTATTTTATTTTTTTTAGTTAAGATTAAGATCAGTTTCCTATAAAGCCTAAAATTACATTATTAAGAAATCAAAATATAAAATTATTTGTTTTCTCCAAAGCCGCAAATTATCACAATTAAGCTATGGCATTAGATGATGTTTAGCAGTTTTGCTTGATGAATGATTAAAATAATCACAATTAATGCTGCCAATTAATCTTCTGTCAATCTACTTATTAATCATTTAATAATCAATTGTTTAAGCACTGGGCCATACTGATTAAAATATGCCTCTAATAAGAATTTGGGGGAGTTTTATGTTAAAATATTTAATTGAAAATGCATCTTTATCGAAGAATTTCACTGTGGTGTTCTTTATTCTTTACAATTTGATTTTAAAATGTTGTAACATGAGTTTTATTTTAACCAAAACTTAACCATAAATCCTGATAATTAATTAATTAGGGTTTCAAGTTAATTAACTTTTTTTAAATTCAGCATAAAAACCTTAACATGAATACATTTTAAATGGGAGAAAAAGTATAATAAACACTTGTATTTAACGTTAATTTCAAACTATGTCAACAGTCATGACTTCTGACCTTACGTTGGGGTCGGAGAAGCAGGAAGTGAGGCCACGCACGTGCAGCGGGAGCTCCTGAGAGGTCGCTAACAATGAGGCGGTAAAAACGGTAGGAAACAGTCAGAAAGTCCGGTCAGAAACAAGCTTCTAGTCAGAAAGAAGCTCTTAGTCACGGAGAACAACCGCAGATAAAACCGACCGGGTAGTTCGCCGACAGTTGGGACGAATTACCGTTATGTTCGCCGACCGTTGGGACGAATTACCGTTATTTTCGCCGACCGTTGGGACTTTTCGGGCAGACCGTGAGTAGAATTACGTTACGTTGCGACCCGTTGAGTAGGAAATACCAGTTACGTTCGGCCACGACGCGTTGGGAACACGAATTACCGCTTACGTTCGCCGACCGTTTGGAGCTAGAATTACGCGTTACGTAGCCGACCCCGTTGAGTAGACCGTTGGGACGAATTACCGTTACGTTCGCCGACCGTTGGGACGAATTACGAAGCTATCTTGTCCGCTGTTAGCATATTAACGTAGTTTAACGCCGTTAGCTCGATGCTAGTGTTACTGCCGCTAACTCCCGCTTTATGTCGGGTTAAACCGCCGTGAAAAAGTCACGTTTGGTTAATCCGGACATGCTCTGGTACTCTGAGGGTTTAGGGAAACGAAATTTGTACGTGTATAAATGTTGTTTTTTTTGGCTCAGTGATATGATTAAAGTTTAATGGTTGTGCTAGCTTCATCTCCTCACAGGCTAACTGCGCTTCTATGTTTGTTTTATTTTTTTAATAGCATTTAAATAAAGCTAACCAAGATGAATAAAGCTGGATTTCTTTTAATGCTTCTGGAGACGTATTATTGATAACTTGACTTTGCATTGTATGAGAAATAGAGCTAAAGTACAAGATATTTAAATGAAGGTTAAATGTGTGATAAAATACCATTGTCTACCTGGTCTACAAATCTTGTCCAGGTTAAGGAAAAAAATTCCACACAATCATTAATTTAATAGTTTTTTCAGTGAAAGTTTAATTTGTGATGGAAAAATTATTATTTTCACATTAATCGTGAATTATATGGCAACATCTGTCAAAATAATCGCCCATCAGTGCCAATAACTGAAATTAAACAAAAGTGAGCAAAATGTTAATTTAAGAACTGCAAGATCTACAGACTCTTTCAATGGAAAAATTACAAAAACAAAGAACAAATGTAATCCATGACCAGATATGCTCTTTAAAATTTAATCCTGGGTAATGTTTTTGTGTTTGGTGTTTTCTATGCACCATCTTAAAGTCATCTGCAAATATCTTCTATTCTAGACCACAAATATTTTTTGCCAAGATCAGTTAGATGTTGACATTGTCTTAAGTTGGTTTTGTGTTTATGGTCTAAAATAACAAATCAGGAATTTGCCTGAAAGTGGTTTAAAATCAGTTAAACTTAAATGGGAAAAAAAACATTCAACAGGAAAAATCAATACATAAATAAATTGAAAATAAAGTGTCAAAGTTAAGCCTGGTTTAGTTAAGGTTTTTTTAGTTTAGTTTATTCTGTAAGGGTTAATATCAGTGTTGGTTCTTGTGTTTTTTATGAGGTTTTTTATTATTTCCCCTCAGGTTCTGTTTAGGATTGGACAGTTACTGATGCTGCTGCCATGCAGTCAGTGCTGGGCTCCGAACATCGACAGTAAGTAAAATAGTGTATGTTCTTACTTTAACAGTAATATATGTAATTATGTGTTATTTCCTCAGTGTTTTAATGAAGTTGACAGGTTAAATTCATCATTTCCTCCCAATTAAATGTGAAATTATCATTTTATGTTTTGTTATATCTTATAATGTGCATTAAAAACCATCAGGGATTGTTCAGTTTGCTTTATTTTAAGTTTTTTGAAAACTCAAATAACTATGTGCATTTTGTGTGGTGGTTGTGTTTATGAGTTAGCCGCAAATTATCACAATTAATGACTTATAATTAATTATAATGACTGGTTGTGAAGTTGACAGGTTAAATTCATCATTTCCTATTCATTTAAAGGAATATTCTTTAGTTGAGCACCAAATCTGACCATATAACTGAGTTTTTTGGCCTCCCGATTAAATGTGAAATTATCATTTTATGTTTTGTTATATCTTGAAGATAACGATCAAATGTTTTTCAGCATTTTCTGTAAAATCAACGAGCTACAACAATAAATGTCATTTCAAAATAAGGCAAATGAAAAGAATCTGAAAGTAAATAACATATACAAGGAACAGGCATGGAGATCCTATTTACTAATTAAAATTAATTTAATGTAGTTTAACGTCTCAGTTGACTGCTCACTATAGATTAAACTATTGATTATTGATTATATAGGGAATAGTGAATGAGGGAGTAATTTTAAGGGTGCTTAAATAAAGTAAACTCAACAAATAAACACTTTGTAAAGGTTAATAATGTAAGTCCTTTAAATTTGCAGGTCGCAGAACTCTTGTTCTTCTGTACCATGCGCCCTTTGGCCCGTGGACCTCAAGTTAACGCACTTGGACTGGAACCCAGAAGCAACCCTGATACACTTCCAGGGACAGTACCTGACCATATGTGACCTCGACTATAACATCTTGCAAGGGGAAATACAGAACGTACCAAAGACTAAAGCCGCAGTGGACATCGGAGAGTTTTGCCTCGTGGAGGATTTGACTTCAGCTCGCTGGTACAGAGGAAGAGTTCAGAACCGAAAAGAGGACTTGTTTGATGTTTTCCTCATAGATCGCGGCAATGTCTTGAGCGTCGACATTGCCAACATATCTTCCTGTTCAAACGACCTGTTCATCCTGCCTCCCAAGATAGTTTGCGGCTTTCTTGCGAATGTCCTGCTGCTTCAGAGTTGTTCTCATTCGGTAGTGGAGGAGTACTTCTCGAGCCTGATTGGAAGAGATGTCACGGGCTACATCCAAGCCCTCCTGCCCCACAAAGTACTCTTGTTGGAAGCCCCTGACATCAACGTCGACTTTGTTAGACACGGGTTTGGGAGGCATGTGGACACAGCTACGTTCCTCCTCTTGGTTGAGATGCTCACGGAGTTTCCACTCAAACAATATGTTGAACAAGTTCCCGACTTGCTCATTGAAAAGCCGAGGGGACAAGAGTTTTGCTTCAAACCGTCTGGGTTGCAGGGATACGAAGACATTCTGTCTTTCTGTGGGCCCAGATTGAGTTGTGGGACGCGTGCTAAAGTGCGTGTAACTGCTGCTGTCAACCCTGGGCTGTTTTACTGTCAGATGGTCAGTATGGAAACCGAACTTTGGGAAATGTCAAAGAAGCTGGCCGCTGTTTGTGAGTACAGAACCAAAGAATGCGGTCAGAAGACTCCAGAAAACCTGGGTTTACTGTGCTCAGTTAAAGGCAAAGACGGGAAATGGTATAGAGGCTTTGTGCAGTTTCTCCCAGTTAACTCTCAAGTTAGAGTTTTGTTCATTGACTACGGATTTTTTGAATCTGTCAAAGTCGAGAATGTCCACAGGTTGCCACCTGATTTCGATTCAACACCCATCATGGCGTTCCCATGCTCGCTCTTATGCCTTAGCGATCAGGACGAGGCCGTCAAAGCTGAGCAGCTGAGCTTTCTCAAGGCAGGCTTGCTTGGAAGAGTGTTAGATGTGGAGATCAAAAGTTTTGACAAACAACAACATCTTTACTCTATCGCAGTAGTTAGTGCTGAAGATAATCATGTGAAGGAACTTGAGCCCGTTCAGGAGCTTCCTCGAATCAAGAGTCAGTCAGTTTTTGAGACAGAAGAACTTTCTCCTCAGGGTGGCTATTTATATTATGAGACTATCATGTGTGAAGCTTTTGGTAAAACACTGAAAACCGAAGAGGTACGAGTAGACTCTGTGTTTGTGGGTTATGTTGAACACGTTCAGAATCCACACCGCTTCTGGATCCGAACACAAAAACGCAATGGTGACTTCGAAGAAATGATGAGAGAAATGGCGGATCACTTCAGTGAAATGAAGATGGATGAAGATGTGCTGTTGAATCCTGAGCTTGGGACGCTGTGCTGCGCCGTTTATGAGGAAGACATGCATTTCTACAGGGGTGTCGTGACAGACACTCTTGAGCATGGAGCTGAGGTCCTTTTCATCGATTTTGGGAACATCGAGAAAGTGCCACACATGTTGATCAAGAAGATACCAAAGACGTTTGCCAGCAAATCTGCATTTGCCTTCTGTTGTTCTCTTGCTAACGTCATTCCTTTGGGTGACGTCTGGACAAGCACTACCGGTGACTTTTTCAGAAGAACTGTGTCAAACAAAGCCCTGCTGGTCCGTGTTGTCCAGATGAAGAAAAACAAACTAGTTGTTGATCTGTATGAAATGGGAAGCGACAACAACCAAAGTATCTCCGAGCTCCTGATCTCTGCGAACCAAGCTGAACACTGGAACAACATTCCCGTTGACAAAAACAGTTGGGGTCCAGAGGTTTGTAACTCGCTGAAAGGTTTTGTCCATGACGGCACCCGTGGTCTAAGATGTGAAGTTGTCTCTCAGTTAAACGTGAAAAACAAAGGGCTGTGCAATGTTGTTGACCTCTACGACACCCAAACCCAACAGAGCAGCATGACAAATGTTCTCAGGGTACAGGGCCTGGCAAGAGAAGCAACAATCCCAACAAAGCAACTGTCAGCGGTGATTCCTGAGTCTTTTGTCTTCTCTTCACATGATATAAGTCCCGGAAACGAAGAGCAAGTCTACGTAACTTACGTTAGCAGTCAGTGGGAGGTCTACTGCCACCTTGAGAGAAACACTGACGTCATCGAAGAGCTTGAGAGGAAAATCTCTGAGGAGAGTGAGAAAATGATGCAAGCCAGTACGAGAGCTGTTGTGAGGAAGATGTGCCTGGCGAAATACTTTGATGGCAAATGGTACAGGGGCTTGGCACATCCTGTTCAGTCGCCTCTGCATCTCAGTGTGTATTTTGTGGACTATGGAAACACAAACATATCTGAGAAAACCCACGTCATGTATATCCCCAGACACTCTACTGATCTGTTGTACACTCCCATGCAGGCTGTGAGGTGTAGCCTTGCTTCAGTGTCCAAGGAAGAGCTCTACGCAGATGCCAAGAAATGGCTCCACGATGAAGTCCTCAACAAGAAAGTGAGAGCTCTCGTAGTTGGAAAGAACGAAGATGGTTCATTTGACGTTGTACTGTTCGACGGAGATGTTAACATCAATGAGAAGGTAAATGAGCTCATTCTCAGTCTTTTACCTAAACCAAAGACGGTTGGGAGTGTTGACATGAGCAGCGCAAAGACAAAACACAAAACTCTCCACACAAGAAACGCAAAGATGTCAGTCAAGCACACAAATGCCAACAGAGGAGTTGCAGTTGGTAGCGTGCCACACGGAAAGAAAAACACAAAAGTCCAAGGGATCGCTCAAAGCAAGAACGCGAAAGTAAAACAGCAAAATGAGGACGGTACAAAACGCTGCGTCTCTGTAAAACCTCAGAAAAACTCTCAATTAACACAACAAAGAGACACAAACACAAAGTCAGAACCACCACAATATACAAAGGACACCGAGATCCCTCAGCTCTTGTGTTTGCCCGACATCAAAGTGAGCAAAGGTTTCAGGGCAAAGTGTTTCGTCTCCCACATCGAATCGGTCAACAGTTTTTTCCTTCAACTGTCAGAAGATGAAGCCGCCCTCTTGAAAATGGGAGAAGATCTCAACTCGGGTATCTTCAAAAAGACTACCGCACCTTTGAGAATTAATGACCTTGTTCTGGCTGAGTATGAGGAAGACGGCGCTCTTTATCGTTGCGCTGTGAAGGACCGTGAAGGAAGTTCTAGTTTCAAAGTTGAGTTTGTGGACTATGGAAACTCAGCAGTCATAGGGATGGAGAAGATCTACTCCATACCAAAGGAGTATCTCTCTCAGCCAAGATTCAGCATACCATGCTCCCTGTTGGACACAAGCACATACGACAGTGATACCTCTTTCACTGATGCTGTAATGGACAAGCCTCTGGTCGTTGATTTTGTCCGTCAATGTGGCACTCAATGGGAAGTCACGGTTGAGATTCTTGATGGAGTCGGTCTTCCAGCGTCACTTGAAAGTAGCACTGAAACTGAAAAGGAAGAGGAGCCTTCTGCGAGTTCACCTGAAAAAGAAGAAAGCGTGAGATCCTGCCAACCGAACTGTGTACGAGAAGAAGTGGCTAAAAATGAAACGGCTAAAGAAAGAATGATGCCTACTGTTGATAAACCACCACCACCTACCGCACTGTCACGCAAACTGAATGTAAAAATCTGCAGGAGCCTTAGAAGAAGACCCATCAGAAACAAGTGTTACTCTCAGAAGAATCCAAGGAAAATCAAAGCAAAGAGTGATCGTACAGACGGAATCATACCACTGACTGTTCAAGCTAAAGACACAGAAAACTGTAGAGTTCTGTCGGTTCTGAGCAACAGCAACTTTTACGTCCGACTGAATAGGACCAGTGACGCGCTCGCTGCGTTGGAAAGTCGCATAGCTGACAACCTACACAAGTACGAGGTAGTGGCTGAAGAAGAGGTCCGACGTGGCTTCAAGTGCTTAGTTCAGGTGCACAAGGACGAGCAGTGGCACAGGGCTGCTGTTCAACATGTATGCCAGGGGAAATGCCAGGTCCTCCTCTTGGATCATGGAACAACAGAAGAAATTCCAAGTTGCTCAATCAGACGACAGAATAGTAACCTGGCAAACGTCCCGAACTTTGCAGTTAAGTGCAAGATGAACTGCTTCGGGTTCAGTGAGGGAGAGGGTGCTCACAAATCGTGGTGCGAAACTCTCAAGCCAATGATAGGCAAAGAAGTCAAGCTGGTGTTTGTGTGTTATTCAGAAGCTGATCAACTCTGGAGTGTTGAAATAATCATGAATGAACTGTTCCTCATTCTTCCAATCACAACGTCACTGCAGCGGGACGAAGAGACGATCCCACCGCCCGCTGAAACCACAAACGACCGACGTTGGGACACGAGCCGACCTCAGCAACTTGTCTTCGCTCCTATTGATACAGACAAAGCGTACTCTGGCTTCGCTGCTGCAGTGACCACTCCCTTCGAGTTTTGTGTTGTTCTGGAGGACTTGCTGCTCGTCATGAGCGAAGTGTCCTTAATGCTGGACGACCTGCCTGAGCAGATGTCTCCTCTTCCCGAAGCCAACCTCGTCCCCGGCACCTGCTGCCTTTTGAAATCGGACACCAAGAACAAGTGGTGCAGGGCAGAAATCGTACACTTTGACCCCACCGCGGTCCTAAACCTGGTGGATTACGGCCACTACGAATGCGTGCCGTATGAAAACTGCTCCCAGCTGAAGAGGCTCCCAGTGGAGCTGACGTCCCAGCCGAAAGTGACGTACCCCTGCATCCTGAGAGGGGTGAAGCCGGTCAGAGCGGACGGACAGTGGACCGACGAAGCAGCAGTCTTCTTCCAGCAGTGTTTGTGTCAGAAGAATCTCCAGATCTTCTTCAGAGAGTTTGTGTCAAACACACACTGGAAGGTGGACGTTCTGGCCGACGGGGTCCATGTTGCCAAGGAGCTGGTGGATGCTGGACACGCCAGTTATATAGACGTCATGCTCGGACTCAGGTATGCTCTCATTGCTTTGTATTTATGTCTTAAATACAATTAAAGCAACTTGTCATCCATCAATCTCTTGTTTTCACCTTTTCACAATTAATTTGAATTCTTATTATTTTGAGAAGCAGTAGAAAAATATTATATAGACAGATTTTATTCATGAATGAACAGTTTGGGCTCAATGTTTTAAAAGATACGAGACAACAGGACATAGTTAATTATAAACTAACAGTCACTTCTTGCAAGAGGGAATGTTTTAATACTTTGGAAAGTTTAAACTACTACAAAATCTTTTCAAAACAGGAAAAATCTGGCGTATAAAAAAAAAATCACAATTTTACTGCTAAGACAGGAAAAAGAAAAATGTGTTCCTTCCATCTTCTGCACCTTCTGATACCTTCAGGTTCCAGGAACAGAGTCCCCGTAAAGCTGCTTCTCACAACCCTGGTAGTGAGGAAGAGCGTGGCGAGGAAGGAGTCGCCTCTGACAGGAAGTCACGTCTTTCTGTTGAGTCTACCGATGAAGCAGAGGAGAAGATACAGCGATCTGGTGAATGTAAGAATAATATTTACACATTTAGTTTTATGGCATCAAGTGAAAGTGCTTGTTGACGCCAACATCTGCCAGAATGTAGGACTGGTTTCCTTCTCGTAGTCAGTGTTTAGGTTTAAGTTTTCCTTTTTGTAAATGTAACACGATTGTTGCATCAACATTCACATGAAAGCATTATTGGTTTTGAGAAATCTCCAGAAAAATCCTCATAAAAATTAATTTTCAACATAAATCTGATAGTGACATAATAGCTTTTATCTTATATATATAATTTATCTGTTTCCTTTATTGTTTTCATTTATCCTGTTGTCTCATGTTTGTCTACTGTCTCAGTTGTTTGTTTTTTATATTTTTCGTCAAGAGCAATACTCAAATCTTCAAAATAAAGTAACAACAGCAAATAAAGTTACCTGTATCTTATAAAGACAACCAATCAAACGATTCCAAAAAGCAAGAAAGCAAACAAACAAAACAAATGACAACAACAACTTGTAACATTTGATTTTCTATAGTTCTCTAGAACATAGTTGCTACAAAGTGACCACAGGATCCAAAATTAACTTACTGAGAAGAGATAAAATAAATGTAAAACATGATTTGGATGATGGTGGGCAGCTATGTACAGTAATAATAATACATTTTATTTAAAAAGCGCTTCTCTGAATACTCAAAGACACTGTAC